GGATTCCAGAGCAAAGCAAAGAATGGCTGTCTTTCAGACATGGTACTTACATTTACATTGGTTCTTAACCTACTACTTTCTTAGCTTATGATACCTCCTTTCAAAAATTGAAGAGGACATTCCCTAATTTAATTTTCAGGCAATGCACTCTTCATAATGATCATTACGTTGACTATGAGAATGAGTGAACTGTTATGGCTGATCAGCCATTTAAAGTGTTCTGTAAGGATAGAATTATCCTTCAGCTTCACTCCATGCTCCCATCCCAACCCAACTGTTAAGCTAGGATTTTGTTTTCTTAGCTATTTTATAAACCAGTTCTCATTCTCACTAAGGCAAGGGAAGCTGCATTCCAGTGGTAAGACGGCACTACTTTGAATAGAGCCAAGGAGTTCAAGGAAGTAGCTAAAACTTTTTATCTCTGATGTGGACGTAAACATCTGAACTCTGCTGGTGACCAATAGGGTGAGCTGAAAGGGTGAGCAACATCATTGCACAAGATTATTTTTATTTTAGATTTCCAGTTTGGGGCTTTTAAACATAAACTTTTTTAAAGTCAGGTAATACTTGTACACCTTCACTGTCTATGTGTGTTCTCCAATCAGCTATTCGCATTGACTCTTCCATGGAGCTTTTGCCTCATTCAAGGCACAGAGCGTCTTCTAGGAATAAATCAGGGATGTGTAGCAGACAGATTTACCAGAGACATTAATCTCATCTCTGTTACCATTGACTGCATGGCTCCCATAGTCAGGGCTATGTCTGTTTCTGTGTACTGATGGAAGCTGTTGTATTTAAGATTCCAGTTTCATGTGTTGCAGGACTAGAAAGGTGGGTGGTGAAAGAGGCAGGAGAGTGCAGGAAGAGAAAAGCAGGTCCTGTAGATAAAACATGCATTTTGTCCCGTGAGATTATAATTTAGCCCTACTTCTGTCACAAAGCTTCGTTTGATACTAAGCAAGTTGTTTAAAACATAGTAGTCACCGATGGCTTCTATATATATCTTTGAAAACTCAATTCAAGATGTTGGGTACCCAGATGGAGTTACAGAAGCATCTAGTATTTACACATGTAACAAATATCAATAAGAATGTTATTTTTAAAATAAAAGGTACTGTATTCTCTTAGGCACTTAAATCTAGGCCTCTTTAATTGAATGGAAGAAATCAGTGGACATCTCTAACAATATTTACTTTAATTTCATGTCTCAGTTCTACATGGGTAGAGGATGGATTACAATAGAAACTCATTTCATGGACAGATTGTGTAGAAAAAAGTAATGGTTGTTAAAAAAAATTATTACATTGAGTCTATCCTTGAAGTCCACAAGGAAACAGTGGAGTATCTGCCAGCATTCTTTGAAAGCAAAAATTTGGGGAAAGAAACTACATCCTTACCACTAAAGAGCTAGATACGATGATGTCAGTCCACAAAAACTACCAAGAATCTATTACTGTAAGCGTAATTACCATTCTTTTCTTCAGTTATTTAAATCTGATTATGTTACTGTCTTAATCTAATCTAGAAATCAATGTTTTGCAGATCAACGAAAGTAATGTCTTTGTCATTTAGAGAATTAGGAGGCTCTCTCTTCTAGACTTTCATGTAAAGAATCCTGTTTAACAGTTGTTCTTTCAGGTGATCCCATTTTCCTCAGTGTGTCACAGAACTAAACCCTTCTTTCTGCCTGAAATGACCTGTTTAAACTGCCTCCACTACAAAATGGGAAACATAGTTCTCAGCTCTGTGTTGGAAGTATAGATACAGATTGCAAGAAATGCTTTTTTCTAGCATTTTTGTTTCTTCATTTTAACTTAAGCGTCTCAGACCACTTAGAAGAAAAGAGGCTGAGAGGGAGATGAGGAAAAGGTGAGGAAAGGAAGAGGGACAGAAATTACAGAGAATATCAGAGCGCAAGGATGAGCCACATCCTAGGTGTTAAGATGAGGACAACTGAGCATAGGATCAAAATAGGAAAGAAAAAATAATAGGTGCAAAGGGATATTATGTATTTCATATCTCATCTGTCAACATAGTTTGGCCAGTAGGGAGTTTTAAATCATCCAGTCGTCTTAGATCAAGAAAGCCTGCATCATAGAAACATGAGTAGGATTAATCTCACCTTTCTTTAGGCAGTTGCAGAATAGGTTCCATACTTCCAATCAGTAAAAATTCAGTCAACAAAGTAAATCAAATTTAGACTTCAATTCATCTGACCAGACGTAGGCATCTGCTTTAGGATGAGATGAAGCATGTGGTGAATTCCATTGACTATGCTGACTAGGTTTTCATTGACTGTGAAAAAGTAGCATAGGATGATTTCATCAGATGTTAATGCCTACAGCGTAGATCATCACATTTAGCCATATCAATCCCACCTTTTGAAATCCTTTAACTAATCCCTGACTGTTTCTCAACTACTAAATTCTTCATTTCCAAGCCCTACTCCCAAATACTAGAAGGCAGATAATCACCTTAATATAACCGATCACAAGTTACTGATAGTCACGTTATTATCAAGAGTTATGATCTTGCAGATAAATATCTGCATATCAGATAGGGCTGTGGTCCCTTGGTTAGAGCAAATCCTGGAGATGTAGACCCATCCCCATCTAATACAGATCTCTGTGATATTTTCAGTGCTGTAAACTTTCAGCCAGCTGTGACCTACCACCATAACTATTTCAAATTCAGCTATTCCACCATCTATGAAGAAGCTGACCTTTCAAATGAACTTGATTCCACGATCTGTACGTTGCCCATAAATTAGAGCATTCTTCATTCTGCTAAACAGAAGAGCAACTGTCCTCCTGACTTTACCAGGACTGCCAGTATAGGCAGTTGTCCACTTCAAACTGGAAGCACCATATGCGTATGGTAAAACTTGCAGCCTGGCAGACATTGTCTGATTCTTTCCAAAGCTGGATTAACCGAGGCTGTTTCAAGCACCTCTAAAAACCTTTGCTACCACTGTCAGAACTCAAACTGGCCTGGCTTTCCACTCTCCCTAGACTGCTCCATTACTGTATTCCGTACAACTTCTCTACTAGAAACATTTATATGCAATGTTAGTAAAGCCATTCAGGAAGTTGGCGGGAAGATCGGTTTCAACAACCAAAATATTGTTAAAAACTGACACATCCTGCCTCAATGAGGAAAGTGTGAAACATCTTCGGAAATAAGAAGGCAATAGTGATCTAGACAATTCACCATGCAGCTTTTGGACAACTTGATTTTTTCTAGAGAAAGCAAGATGAGAGCAAGCTATCATGGAACTTAGGGTAGCAAAATCCAACTGCAAAACCTGGGCACCAGTCACAAAACCTGGTACCTCTCAGATGCTTGAACCATAGTACCGTCACGTGGTATTTCTGAATAGTATGGTTGATTCTCCTGAAAAGTCTTATAAAGCAACAAGGATAAAAGATGAGAATAGAAGGCAAAGAAGAATTAATGGCAATGCGAGCAATGAATATGTGTAAAAGAAGAACTTCTTTCACTAAAGATGAAATGTGGAGCGTGGTTGAAACATTAAAAATTAGTAATAACTCTAAGCTGTTGTTTCCTTGAAGAATAGAGCAGTAGTGATGAACTGTGTTTCTTTTTAGTCACCCAGAAGACCAAAATGCCTGAGACCTGGTTTACTGCAATAGTAAGACCCTTAGTACAAATTAAGGTGTTCTATTCTTGTGCCCTTGCAAGCAAAGTAACATCTTCAGCAACCACTGCTGCCATCTCTTTGCTAAAACATGAGTACCAATTCCTTTAAAAGATGGTCCTTCAAAGGGTGGCTATAACAACGATGGTGTGCTGAGAGTACAGCTCAAAAAGGATTCAGACCACATCTTAGGAACTGTGATTAAATGCTCACCTCTAGAAGGCAGTCACAGTGTGCCTAGATCTTAACCGTCTCCATTTCATACATAAGGCCCATCCTTCTGTCAGTGATCCTGTTACTGTCACTGAACGACCCCCTTTTTCACCGCTTAGATTAAGCCCAGCTCTTAAAGATCTCAAGAAGCAGTTTAAATACAGAGCAGTTCTAACCTTTCCATAGATTAGTTAGGAAATCATGAAAAGTCTGAAAGCTGTCAGGTGTTTTATCTGCAGAAGTGATGTCCATCTAGCAGTTCAGTACCGGAATTTCAGTTATCCAGAAGAAGGACATTGACCTGGGAGACATGATGCATTTGTCACAAAGAATGGGCCGGTTACCCCAAGTCTGAGAAAGGAATCTCCAGCTCTTTCTACATAAGTCATCCAAAGCCCACAAACGGATCAATGCTTTCCAAATGGGTACCTGCTGGACAATGGTCCAAAATGTCTTTATCTAAGTAGAACGTTGAGAAGTTTCTTGGCTTTCCAGAAACATTTTTGAAAGACTTTGGCAAAAAAAAAAAAAAAAAAGGTAACTTGATCAAAGATCAGTTGAGTCAACGGGTTGATTGATGACACAAATGTGGTGAACTCTGCTTTAACTTGTGCTGTTCTGGGGCAGCGTACGGCTTCCTGGTGTGGTAGGGAAGAAGAAACACTCACCAGAACCAAGGCGTCAGTATGGCAGAACTCGTGGTAAGGCGCTCCTGTCCTGACACTGGTTTTGTCCCACCCTTCAGCCCTTCCGAGATGAGAGACGCCATCTTGCAGAATTTGCTCTTGAAGGAGTAATCACATCTCGTCACACCTGCCTTCGCACAACAATGCCTTCAGTTGGTCAAGCTGATGGTTTACTGCACGGCCCCCGATTTGCACAGTTTCCTGTGAAGCACCCCCCGATGACACGTGAGGCGACCAGAACAAGTTGCGTGGCGTAACTCGTACTGGACTCACAAGAAAGCCAACAACTCAGCTACTTTCCGTTGACCCATCGCAGCCGGGAGGCTTTGGTGGGGCCTTCCCAGTTTTGCAAACATGGCCAGTCGGGAGATGCAAGCCACATCGGTGCTGTTGGCAATGATCATCGAGGGCCGCTTAGTTGCGGCGTGGATTTGCCCTCTCCGATGGCGAAGGCGCGCTACCAAGTAAGTTTGGAACAACCTAGGCAGGCGCGTTACAACGTTGCTGGTACAAACGGTGGTGGCAGAGCAGGGCAGCGGACTGGCCGCCGGCGGGGGCCCGCCGAG